GACACACACACCCTACCCCCTCCCCCGGGACGGAAGTTTACTTACTACACACACACACACACACACACACACACACACACACGTACCCCTCTCTCACACGGGGGTGACAGGCCGACCCCATCCTCCCTACCCAGCACTCTCTGCCCTCCATGTCAGGCTGGGCCATCAGGGATGGACCCGCCTCTCCTGGTACCTGGCGCCGTGTCTTCCTGAGGCAACACTTGGGAAGCAGGGAGAGACACAGGGCCCCATGCCCCCATCCCCAGATTTCTGCCAGGGTTCACACCAGAATGTGGCCAGGCCAGCAGCATCCTGGGAGCTGCTTCCAGCCACCGGGGAGGAACAGGGGTGGGTGAGGGGGAAGAAATGACCTGGCCCTTGTCTTTGCAGAGCTCATCTCTCCCCCTCTCCCCCAGGGATGGAAGCAGCTTGTCCCTTCCCGCCCGCACAGTGTGGAAAGGCAGCGAACACCCCCAGGCTGCTGCTGGCCACCCACATAACCCAGCTGCCTCCTGTCCCCCGGCTACCGCGCAGGCAGGAAGGGGTTAAGCCCTAAGGCTGCATTGTGCCCCAGGGCCCAGGGAACCTGACTGCAGGGGCCTCAGTGACCCCGGCCAGGGAGGTGGCTCAGCAGGGGAGGTTGCCTAGGGGGCAGAGCAGCCCTGCACTCCCTGGGGGCAGGACCCAGGGCGAGGAATTATGGGGTGAAGAGGGTTCTAAGCCCAGGGGCCTGTGGTGGACCCTGCAGGTTCGGGGTGGGAACAGGCTGGAAATCGCTTCCCCCACCTCTCCATCCTGAACACTGAAGTTTCCCCTGCCCCACAGATACTCACCTCCGGACACCCCACTCTGCCCAGCCAGCCAGCAGCCTGGAAAGGAGACAGCTCATGAGGGACCAGATCCCAGAGTGACTCAATACAACACCCTGGTCTCAGATCCCCCCGCTCCAGGGACATACTCCTTGGTCTCTGATCCTACTCCTCACCCGCCCACCCCATTGTGTGCACACCCTGGTCTCAGATTCACCGCCCCGCCCCGCCCCCCATGGACAGATGCTCTGGCTGTCTCCGATACTCACCAAGGAAGAGGCTCATGAGAGCAGACCCCATAATGGGGGCAGTGAGGGGCCCCTGAGCGCTGCCACCAACACCCCGGTGCCCAGCTCCACCGAGTCCCAAATAAGAAACTCAGCTGGTGGCTCCAGCTACAGGAAGTCAACGATGTCTCATCTCTTCCTCTGCCCACCACACCTTGTCTCTAATCTGCAGGCGAAATCTAGTGCGGTCAAAGTAAACAAACGGCTTTGCGAAACCCAGGGACCGTCAGCCTGGCCAGGTGTCATGCAGCTCACAGCTTGTCTGCAGCCTTGAGGAAGGTGTATGAGACTAACACTCAGGCAACCATAGGGTCTGGTCTTCAGTCTTCCACTGACCACAATTTCCATAAAAATTCCATCCCCTTTTCATTCTGGGTTCAAGACCGGCTGGGGACCCATATAGGTAAAGTTAATATGTGATGATGCAAGTCAAGGCCTGCATTGTAATGGACCTGCATGATGAGGAGAATTGAGGTCATTCAGGAAACCATAACAGACCCACACACACACCCCGCCTGCTTTGTTGCATTCTGAGTTCAAAGCTGGCTGGTGACCCATGTAGGTAAAATTAATACGTGATCACGCAATTAAAGGGGGCAGAGTTAAGGAAAACTTAACTGGGGTATTTCCTGGTGCTGGAGGGTTTAACTCTGCAGCCTTCCCTCTCAGCCTGCAAACCTGCCCACCTGCGACACGAGCCGTGGCACTGTGTGAGGAGCGGGTGCGATGGGGGACGCCTGGGTTTGCTGCCCCTTGCACCATAGCTGAGCGGTGATGACGGGTTTACACTGTAACGCCTGGTTCTAAGGGGCTTTTCTCAGCATGTGAATTAAATCAACCAGGTTCAAAAGAAAACAGGAGGAAGAGAAATTCCATCCCAGGCACCCCAATGGGTCACCAGCCGGGAGAGACCCAGTGACCTTCTAATGCCCCCGCAGAGACCCTGCCCCCAAGCTGAAGGAGACACTGTCAGTGGTTATGAGGCCAGACCCCTAGAGAGGGATGTGACACAGGCTTTGTGTATACGCCATTGGCTAGAGGGCAGGAGAAATCTGGGGGTCAGGGGACTCCATTCCCGGCTCCGGGAGGGGGGTCTAATGGTTAGAGCAGGGGGCTGGGAGCCAGGAGCCGGGTGTGATGGTTGCACCATCGCCCATCCATTCTCACCCAGCGCTGGGTTGGTGCTGGGTAGGGGGCTTAGGGTGCAGGAGCTGGGGGGCTGGGTACTGACAGGGAAGGAGGGAGAATGGAAGCTACTCCCAGTATTTGGGGGCACCTGGGTTCCCCCCTAATGAGCGTTTTAGGGTGAATCTGCCCCATTGCCATGGGGGACACTGGGAGGCATCACTTGCCCCTAGCTTCCCTCGCCCCTCCCCCAGCTGGCCAGAGGTTCTCAGCTGGAGTTTTGGCGGGAAAACAAATTCCCCACATCCACTGACCCCGACTCTGTGAGAGGGGAGCCCCTCCCCCCGTCCTTGCCCCATCCCCCCTCCGACCTCCATCCCTCCCCCTTGCCCAGACCTTGCTCCATCTCCGCTCCAAGCTCCACCCCGCCAACCCCATCCCATCCCCCCTCAAATCCCCATCCTCTCTGCCCCGGTTCTGTCTCCCCTCAAACCCCCCACCCAGCACCAACCTCCGCCCATCTCTCCCTTGTTCCTGTCCCCCTCCAACCCTCATTCTCCCCTCCTGTCTCCCCTCAAACACCCACCCACCTGCCCCCTTTTTGTCTCCCCTCAAATTCCTGTCCCTGACTCCCTCCCTGATCTCAGCCCATCTCCCCTCTAATCCCTCCCCTCCCAACCTCATCCTGCCCCCCAAACTCCCATACCCTGCTGCTCTTTGCAGAGGGTCTCACAGGCCAGAGGGCTCAGGGGGTTTGGAAACTCTCTCCCTCGCCAGCGTTACAGAGGTCGGGGGCCGGGGCTCGTTTCAAACCGAGCCCCTGGTTCTACTCGGCTCCAGGGCAAACCCCCAGCAGCAGCCGTTCAAAGGCAAAGCTTTCGGGTTAAACCCACGGGCAAGGAATCAAACCCGGCCTGTCTATTGAAACGGGGCTGAGCGACCGCGGCCAATAGCCGGAGTCAGACCGGCTCCAAGTCTCGCTCCTTCGGGAGTCACCGGAGCAGAGCCGCTTGTTCCCAGAACAGCCGGGCTTTGGGGGGAGGAACCGGTTCATTTCACTCTCCGGACGGACGGGCAGGGCAGCCGCTGATCCCGCTCCTAGTGTAAGCAGGGGAACGGTCCCGCTATTGTGGAGAACTTTCCTGGTTTATACACACCCCAGTGGGTGGCTAGTGAAAGGATCTGAGTCCTCGCTCCCACTCCCTTTACCCAGAGGCCTGCCTGACCTCGAGGGCTCCCCTTCCTCCCTCCCGTGCGGCAGAGTCCTCGTAACTCCGGCCAGGCTGGGCCCTGAATCCCTGGGGGCTCGACCCCCCCAGTCTTGTCATGGTCATGTAGGACAGGGGTGAGGGTGTCCCCACTCCGGGGCACTCTCTT